TGTGCAGACTTGGCCACGTGAGCAGCTGAGCACCAGCCAGGGTTGGGGAGGTGTCTGAGGGTGACCCGAATGGAGTGTCATGACATGAACTGCTGAGTGGGAGGCAGCAGTGGTGACGTTTCTCACCTTAACCACGGGGCTCTCACTGATTATCCAGGCAGGGATTACAGTGTGCTCTGTGCACAAGAGGCCAGCTCCAGAGGAAACTGAAAACCCAGCGAAGAAGGTGATGGCGACCCCTTCTAGGGGGAACGAGATGGGGAAAGAGGCGGCCGGCGAGAGCAGCACACCCTCCTGGGCCCGCGACCACAAGGCCAGCGCCATGGTGCCAGAGAAGACTGCTGCTCCCTCCCCCCCACACTGGGGTAAATGTAGGTGTCCCCCTGATGTGAGCCTCTGGGCACCACACACACTGTCTGGATAGACACGGGGTGATCAGGATGGGCAGTCCAGGCTGTGTTTTAGTGCAGTGTGGACACCGATCACCATCAGCTGGAAGTGGATGCCAGTGTCCTGGGCTGCTCCAGAGCCTGGCTTTCCGTCCCTTGCCTGTGACTCTCCCTCCCGGCGTTTCCCAAAGAGCTGTACAAGACTCACTGTGGATGCTCCCGGTGGTGCAGTTCTTACTGTCCAGCTGCATGCAGGGCCAGGCTCTGGCGAGCACTGGTGTTATCTCCAGCACAACTGCGTCCTCCGGTGTCAGCCCCAGTCCCGGGTTCCCCACTGTTCACACAGCACTTTATCACGGCCCTGCACAGAACCTGAGCTTTTCCACGTTACTGCTTTGCACAAATACCCCGCTCCCTCGCCGTGCTGCAGGCATCTCTGTGCGAGTCAGTCTTGCCTCAGAGAGCTGCGGTACAACTCTTAGAAGCCCCCAGAGTTTTTGACTTGACAGCAGACACTGGGTTCACGTGGACGTCACATGCTACACACCGCTCATTGGACAATGAAATCTTGAAGGACACTTGCTGCTGCCCCACAGGCCGCAGAGTGAGTGGTGTGGCCTCCTCCGCACAGAGAGCAGCGTCCTTGCTGCAGGGAGGGTGGCGGGCTGGTGTCAAGGGTTCAGGGTCCCGGCTCCTGTGCAGTGTTCAGGCTGCGACCCTGGCCCAGGTTTCCAGTGAGTGAAATGAAGACACTTCAGGTTGATGTGTGAATCCCTGGTTTAGATCACGCAACGTGGCTCTGTCCTTGTTTTCCTGTCTCCTGGTCCCAACATAACCCTAGCTATGGGGATGAGGATCCCTAGGAGGGCACATCTCTGTCCTGTGAATGCTCTCAGACCAGGTTTTATTCATGCTCTCTCCCCCGCTCTAGTGCGTTTTCTCCGGTTTCGGTGAACCACCAGGTTACGTAGCCGTATATTCCAAACGTGTGCCCTGTTTCCTTTCCCCTTTTCTCAGCCTGCTCAGTGCCCTGGGGGAGGGGCTGATGCAGGTCTGTGCCAGATGTCACGTGCTTAGGACTTTGAATCCCTCGAAGCCCAAGACCAGAAATGGAGTCACAAGTAATTTGAATGAACCAGCTGCCGCACCTTGATGGCCCTCTATACAATAGCTGCACCTCTGCAGACCTGACAAATGCACCAAGAAGCGAGCACTGCCTCTGCGGGCAGAGGGCAGCCACTGCCTAATGTGGGCCTAATGTGTAAGCTGTCACAGCCACGTAACACTGCAAGGAGGAAGCGTGGAGGGTTTGACCGCAACCAGGGTACCTGTGGGATGGGCTTCAGCTGGGTCACCCCCCTGTGCGAGCAGGGGTGAAAACCACCCCTGAAACTCCAAGGGGTCACTCAGGAGAACCTGCGTGCTGGAGAGAAGGCATGTCGGAGAAGTTGAGAATGATGGATTCTACAATCACTGTGTCACTTTCGGGGAGCCAAGGGACATCCCAGAGGAAGCCTGCTGCTCTGCACAGAGGTGGGAGGTTCTCACCTTCTGCACAGTGGGTCCTCAGCTCACAGGCTCCCCTGGCAGGAAGTCAGGACACACAACAAGTGAACAATTTTCCCAGCACACGCACATCCCTAAAAATTGGGCATCCAGACAGTGGCGTGCATAAGAGACATACTTGGAGCTGCTGGTTCCGAAGTTTCCCTGTTGCCCCAGAAATGTCTTGCTAAACACTGACTGGGAGGACGGTAAGGAGATTGGTAAAGCAATCCTGGGGTGGCAGGGCACGTGCCCCAGAACCCCATGGGCAGGTGGGATGGGCAGCACCCACAGATGCCTCCTCAGCTGCCTGCAGACTCACTTGGGCTGGGCGGGGGTGGCTGGTGAGGTCAGAGGAAGCTGACTCTGGCCACGTCCAGCCCACTTTCTCGGGAGCTGAGCCAGCTCCAGCTCCAGCTCCACGAGTCCGAGTGAGAAAAACCACATGGCAGAGCGGCTGCCACAGCTCCTCACGGGGCCTCGTCTGGGTCCCGCACCCAGGGCCCTGGGCCCCTTCAGGGTGGAGGCAGGTGAGCGGGGACCTCGCTGCACAGGAGGCCCTGCGGCTCCTTCCGCTCACCGGGTGTGTGATTCCCACACGGCTGTGCCTCGAGTTCCCTCCTCACCCCGCGTACTAGGGTGTCTGTGCGAGTTTATAGTTGTGGTAACAGCTTGGACTTCTCCCGAGGCCACAGCACCCCTCTCTGGCCTTTCATCCTTACTCCTTCAAGGGTTTTGTCTGCTGCTCCCGTCCCATGACTGGTAAGGCATGAAGTGGGCCAAACATTTTGTTTTGTAAAAGATTCCTGGTTTATTGGGGTTTTTCAGTGAGGTTCCACTCTAGAAACAATCCATGGTGATCGGACCCCCTAAGTGGGGATGTGAACACATTTAACATGGGGAGGCATTCGGTATCACTGTGGTGATGAAAAGGGAAAATGGCACAGACGTGTGGGGCCGGGTCCCGGGGGTTTGCTGTGCCTCTAACCCAGGTGAAGCATTTCCTCAGTGATGCACACACCGCAGAGACAGCCCCAGTGGTGTGGGGAACCACAGTGCCAAGAGCACAGGTTTCCATGGGGAACTAAGAGTGTGGGCCCGGAGCACAGGTGATTGAAATCTTGAGGAACAAATCCCTATAGTACCTACCTGGGGAAACTGTAACCTGGGAGTGTGAATACTCTAATCTAGAAATCTGAATGAGGATTGGAAGTTGTGTTTTACCACCTGGTTGAGCCATTTTTCCGTCTCGTCAGGAGATATCTATGCATGTGAAATCAAAGTGGAAGCAGACAAATTTGAATCTCTACTCATAAAGGACTAACCTTGGCAGATGTTTCTTTTTTTTTTGGCAGATGTTTCCATATTTTTTGGGGGGGGGTCAGATGTTTCTCAATGTGACGTATCACTGGCTTTTTCTTGGTTGTCACCTGTGACATTTTGATATTTTAAGGCGCTTGCTATGTAATTGAGGGTGGTCTTGACCTGCTCATGTAGCCCAGACTGGCTATATTCCTGCCTCAGCCTCCACACCCAGCTTAAAGAATTTTAAGTAAGTTGAAAGAAAATACCCTGCTGTTCATAAACCTGGGCCACCTGTCTGTGAACGTGAAAGGGCCTGCCGAGCCCCACAGCCCAGCCCTGCCACACGCTCAGGCAGCAGCTGCCTGCCTGCTGGTCTGTGCCTCCCTGGGAGCAAGTTATGGGGAAGTTTCTCTTAGTTCACCTACTCTCAGTGACCTTCCTGTACACTTTTGAAGCTGGGAGTCTGTTACTCCTTGGAGGCCAACCCTCCAGGAAAATTGCATGCCATTGCTGATGTCATGTGGTGCAAAGGTCCCCTCTGGAGATGCCGGCTCTAATTCCTCTGTGTCGTACCCACGTTTCCGGTATATTTGTGTGAACTCGTACAATACTGAGCACTTTGTGTGTGTGTATGTTACCAATCGCCATACATGTCCTATACTGATATTCTTAGCTTCCAGAAGTTAAGGAAGCAAACTGAAAAGGATGTTTGCTCCTTCATTTGTTTCGCTTACGGCCGGGCGAATTTCTCTCATCATTGTGAAGGAGGAGTTTGGCTGCAGTGCTTTTTACCAGTTTGACTGCTCGTAAGGGGAGACCCTGGGCAGGATGGGGCTGTATCTCTGGGTTGCATCCCCACTTCCGGCGGCCCTGCCCTCTGTCCTGGTGCAGTTTATATCTGGGCAGTTGTGTGGGTTCTGCCCAAAGGAGCACACGCCCCTGACTTCCAGAGGCTGCATTTTCTGCGCCTCTGCTCCTGTGGCCTGTGATACCTTCGGTGACCAGCCCCTCGGCTTTCCAGTGTGATTATCACTTGAGGCTGACCCTGATTATCACTTGAGGCTGACCCTGTGTTCAGCAGTCTGCAGTGATGGGCTGGGCCCCGACGATGGGATTTCTACACAGGCAGACCTGGCAGCAAGGGTTTCATGGGGCAAGCCCTAGCCTTTTCCTGACACGTGGTGGACTGGCCACATGTGAGAGAGGCTGGTGGGCACAGTCCCTGCAGACACAACCATGTCTGTGCCCAGGCTGGGCTGTGTCCTCAGGTCCCCCAACCACTCTGGAGCAGTTTATTGGCTCAGGCCTCCCTTGCAGAGAGGATGTCCACTCTTTGCTGAGTCTGCCCCTCTCTGGAAATGGTCACAGGGAACAGTGATCAGGGAGCAATCACTGACTTGGAATCCTGGGTCACACTGCAAGGGTCACTGCAGTACCTGTTGATACCATGCAGGGTTTCAGGGCTCAGAGCCACGGGGTGCTGGAAGGAAGCCTCCTGAGAGGACGCTCTTCTGCATGGGTGTCAGGGAGACACCCAGGCACTGCTGGCAACTTCTGTAGCCCCTGCTCCGGAGCCCCCCTGATCTCTCTCTCTCTGGACTCCTGCCCAGTGTGCACCCTTGGGGACAGGCGCCATCTATCCGCACAGCCAGGATGGCAGGCTGCCCTACCTTGTGTGCTCACACCGCATTTCAAGGGGGATCTGTCCCGATACAGGTGGGGTTTTGTTCCAGCTGGGAGTTTTTGCCTGTTTTCTGTTGAGATTTTGGTGACCACTCTTGTTGGTTGAAAGCACCAGGTGGTCAGCTCCTCAGGCTGGGAAAATTTCAGGTCCAGAGTTGTGCGTGTGGACATCTGTAGAGCACCCTCACCGTGCTCTCAGCATCTGCTTCTTGGTGTGAGACTATCATTTCCAAGAGACTCATCCAGAAGAACAGCGAGGTGACAGGTGACACCCATGCTGATGGGCCGCCGCCTGCAGGGCCCTCGGGCTGGGTGTGAATGGGAGAAGGACTTGTCCATTGTCCTTCTCTGCAATTTTGAAATTTACATTTTAACAAATTGTCTTTGAGTTCCTCATAAAAAGTGCTATTCTAAAGCTACCTGTTTATGATTAGCTGAAATTTCTCCTTTAGTTGCATAGCTTAGTGAAGAATGGGGTCCTAGATAATTAGCTTGCTGGTTGAGACAAAGGTTTAAAGGAAGTGTATGATCCAGCCCTTTTCTTCATGGAAGAGAGCACAGTCACTGTCATAGATGCTGCTGACAGCCCTTGCTTACCCTTTTGTAAATGTTAAGACTTAAATGCTCATGTGAATGCAGCACAGTAATGCCGAGGACGTGCTTGTGAGGTTTCTGGTGAGTTGCTGCGATGTCAGCTTGCAGCACACACTGTGGACCCTCATCTCACTCAGCATCCCTGTGCTCTGCTCTGCAGCCCCGAAGGACCACAAGAGAGTGGACAGAGCAGTGGGTGCAGCCTCAGCCCCAGAGAACACAGCACTTCCGGGCTCCTCGGCATGCAGACAACCTCCATCCAGAAGTCTCCTTCCGAAGAAGCCTCATCCTTTCGCCAACATGGCAGGAGCCAATCCAGCCATTAAAAAGTCACCTTCGGGCTTCAGGGGCCCCATCCCCAAGAGGCCCTGGCTCTGGGAGGCCCCAGCAGGCATCTCAGCAGCCAGGCAGGAGGGACCAATGCCGGTTCCTCTGGCGAGGGAGTCCAAACAGCCGCCGTGCTCTGCAGTTCTGCCTGGAGCTGAGAGGAGACCGGGGGTGACTTCAGTCCCCACAGCTTCTGCAGCCCCTGGACGCCTCAAGGTGGCGAGTCCCGCCCTGTCACAGCCAGAGTCCCGAATTCACCCAAATACAAGGTGCTCCTTGGAGGAGATTCTGTGGGAAGGGTGGGCCATTCTACGATGTGCTGTGTGGAGGGGGCGCCTTCCACCCACAGTGCACTTCATGACTGTCTCGCTCTTTGCAAACCCCAACAACTGCAAATGCAGGTGGTTGATCCGGCCCCTTTCCTGTTCTGTCCACCAGTGAAAGTGGTGACTCAGGCATGACTGAAAGCGAGGCCGGAAGAGCCACCCTCCACCTTGAGAAGGAGATGTTTAGCTTGTCCCAAGTTACATATAGTCGCCACAGGAGGAAGTGCCGCAGCATCACTTTCCACCTCGAGGATCCCGGACATCAGGTGTGTGCGTCAGGCCGGAGTGGACCTGATGCAGCAGCAGTGAGCACCAGGTCTCAGCCAGCTGAGGTTCACACAGTACGCCCAACACCCACGGGAGACATTTGTGTCCTCCCGTTCAGGATCCTTTGCTCTCCTCCTCCCTGGGTTTCCCGTGGATCTCGTTGGCACCTGCTCCTCTTCACTAGATCAGACCAAACAGCGCCGCAATCCCATGACCGCCACTGGCTGGCTTCTCCATAAAGTCGGAGCTCTGGATCCCAGTGTGCACACCACCCAGCTCCACACCACCTTACCTGCTCATTTTCTTACGTCCTCCAGCTGAGGCTTCTGTTCCATGCTGTGGGCCATGCCTTGCAGTTCTCAGCCTCAGCTCGGAGGGTGGAAGGGATGAGCCCCCAGCCTGGCCCGGCCCGGCCCTCACATCTCCTGCCCTGGGCTGTTTTCTAGGGTTCTCTCCTTCAGCTCTGAGTCCTGCCCTATGTTTTATTTATGTATCTTTTGCAAGCCATAAGACTAATTAAAGTGAAACAGTCTCATAATGTTCCATGTCATACATTTCAACAAACATGAGCCAAACACAGCAGACATAAGTCCAAGTCTGGACATGTTCTCAAAATAAAAGATTTAAGAAAAAAACCCATTGTCATGTGGCACCATGTGAAAATCAGAATACGGGATCAATGCACTGGGATTTCTTTTGCGCTCTGTGCTTTCTAATTATCACCCCGTGGTCATGGAGCCAGCCTTAGATGACATCTCCCGTCCCATGAGCCTGTTTGGTATCACAGTACTCCTTGTGATGCACTCAGAACTCATACTGAACAATGACGTGGGTGGTTTTGGCAGGTGAGCTTTTCAACTTGTCTCTCAAGTCTTTGTCCACGAGAAACAAGATGACGCAGAAGTGCTACTTGTCTGTGCTTTAGGACCAGGCTCAAAGGTGCTGGCTGCACCTCGCATGGTCAGCGAGGCCTGGCGGAGGGGCTGGATCTTATCCTACTTTCTTCCTAAGACCCTCTTTGACTTGTCTCCCACCTTGAGTCTCGGATTTGTTTCCGGAGGCTGCTGGGTGTTCAGCACAGTCCATGCAGCGTAGCCGTGAAGTCAGCTCTTGGCTGGGGCAGGCTGGTGCTTTGTCCTGAGAGTCTCCTGGGGAGCTGGACGGGGCCCTGCAGGGTGTGGCCAAGTACTGCCCTCTGCAGGGCTTAGGGTCTGTGACTGTGGCCCTTGCCCTCTGACAGGACTCGTGCTGCTTTGCTTACATACATCGTTGCAAATTAGCAAATAATTGTCCACTTTCCAGTAGTGATGGGAGGGTGGTTGTTCATAGGGGCTCTTCATCGAGTCACGTGTAAGGAAATCTCCCTAAAGGAACTGGTGAGGATGGCGCCAGAGGAACTTAGGTCTAAAGAGCTTTCCATGTGGGAAGAGGCCGACAAAATCTGTGACGGCAGATGGCAAATGGTAGCTTGAGTCCCTGGAGGCTCAGCTGTTGAGAATTACCTGCTCCTTGCAGGGGGATGTGTTTTGTGCTTAGAACTCAGGGTTTAAGGCTTTGATTTTGTGTTTATCATTTTAGGGGATCAGGTCCCAACATAAAGGGCAGAATGACAGTAAGAATGGTCCATGAATGGTACCATGAGGCCGAGCGTGGTGTTGCACGCTTGTAATCCCAGCACTTGGGAGACTGAAGCAGGCAGATCCAAGAGTTTGAGGCCAGCCTGGGCTACAAAGTGAGTTCAAGGCCAACCTGAGCTGCACAGTGAAACCCTGTGTCAAAAAGACAAAAAAAGAAAAGGTGCCATGAAGCCAGGCACGATTCCTGAGGCAGAGGTTCCCCCACTGATATGAGACTGGGATGTGAGCATTGCAGATGTCAGTAATGGCGAGGAGAGTGAGAGCAACCCCTTCCAAGCGCTTGCAGGGCCTCAGTGATGAGGTGAAACACTGAGCTGGAAACCGGTACATGTGGACGTCCAGCTGTGCTGGCTCCCAGCCCCTGCAACCAGTAATCCCCCTTTTCCAGGGGTTCTTATTTCAGGAGAGTGTGCTTCCCGTGTGCAGTCACTTGGACGTGATTTGGAAAGGGAATGACCTGGTCCTTTTTTTCCTTTTCTTTGAGGAGCAGCAGAAATCAGTACGCACTGTCCATGTGCCAAGCACAGCGCCTCTCCCTGCTGCCCCTAGCAGCAGATTGAAGGATTTGACGATTCAGCACCGGGCTCACCTCTTTGATCTAAGTTGTAAAGTTTGTACAGGTGAGCGCAGTCTGGCATGCATTTTGGAAATCAAAGAACACGTGATTGTGTTTAAAATCACTGATCCTCCTAAAAGCGATTGTACTCAGGCCTGGAGGAAACAAACAAAAATGATGAAGTGGTTTTCTGCAGTTTGCCCTTCCTTCATCCCGTGCTTTCAATGCCTATAAGAAGTCACTGCCTACTCACCAGAGAGCTGTGAAGGTGCTGGATTTCTCACTGACTCTGTCTTCAAATTCCTCAGGTCAGGTTCCATCAGAAGATGAACCAGCTCCTAAGAAACAAAGAGTATCACCTTCTGCCAAGAAAGAAGACTTAAGGTTCAAGCTGGGAAGCTCTCCACCTGATCCAGTGCCTCGCTTGTCCGGTGGAGCATCTGCAGTGGTTCTGCCCAAAGATGCCTCAGAGCCACATGTGGAAAGGGCCTCTGGTCCAAGGCCAGAGAGAATGTGTGTCCCTGGGCCTCCAGGGGACAGATGTGCCGGGCCCTCCCCACTGGAAGGCCTCTCCAGCTGCCCCGCTGGGATGGTCACCACGGTCACAGTGTCCAGCCACGACCACAGGGCTGCTGTGAGCAGGACCTGCACTGGTGCAGCCTCTGCTGCAAGCCACCCGGATGGCGCCCACACAGTCGAAGCCAGACCAGACCAGCTCAAGCCCGCTTCATCCTGTGTGACACTGCCCAAGTCCACACTGACTAAACCGTCCTCGTCCCCAGAGCCGAGACATTTGTCAGCTCCCCCATCACCGAGTGTCAGGTGGGTACTGGGGTGGGGTCTGAGTTGGCCCGGATCCTGTTGTTTCTTTGAGATGAACCGGGGGAAGGTGGCGATGAAATACTTCAAGTCTGAAATTCACGCCAGAGTCCAGTTCACTCCCTTTGGCTCCAAATGCTCACTTCCTAGGCACCTAATTATCATGTTGAAGGGACAAATGCTGCAAACTGAAATTGAAGTAATGTGACCGTCATGATTTGCTGACTCTTCAGCTTATTTTCCTTGGCCCAGTATCTAAATCATTAGGATTCAAATAACTTCATGCCCAGTAAGTTAGCACATGTACAGAGATTCCCCTCTGCTTGCAAACATGCTGTCTCCACCCTCTTCGGTTCCCAATGAACAACAAGATTGACAGTGTTTCCTGTGGTCTTGTTTTGCAGCATTTACGAGTCACGTGGCCCCCGAATAGCAGACCCGACCGTGTCTGCGTCTCACCTCAGCAGCCCTTGGAAAGGCCTCATTAACATGCAGAGTGTAGGCAAATTTGTCACTAAGGCGTATCCTGCCTCTGGGAGCTCTGCTTGTCTCAGCGAGGTGAGAACCGAGGGTGTGAGCACCTGCAAGCATCTCCCAGGGCACGTGCTGGGAGATGCTGCCTGTCACACACTCGCGCCCGGCTCTGCCCACCTGTCAGGGTGAAGCGGAAGGGGCTGCAGTGCGGCAGGGCTTACGTGTGAAGGGGCAGGAATTCGGAGAACCCAGGTGTCCTGGCTGTTTGAGCTGGGTTTGTCCTCACGTGTGCGCTCCCAGCTTTCAGCATGGCAGGGCTTCTGTCTTTCGGAAGGAACATACGGCACTCGCTGTGGCGGCTCGGCCAGGAGTAACTGCTCGGTCCTCGCTCATGCCCAAATCATTATTCTGTGCTCACAAAGCACAGAACCAAGGCATGGTGACTTCTGATGGTGCCCCTGCTGGGCACAGGTGGACATCAGGCCACCCTTGGGCAAGGTGACCCCTAACCCTTGCTGGTCAGCCACCCAGCTCAAACACAGCTCTTGCCTCTTTCCTTGAAACCGTTGAGTTTGGAGGGGTTTTGTGCCCTGAAGTTCCCAGTTACTCTCTAAGTGAGCGCTGTAGTTTCCCTGGTCATTTAGTCCAACTACTTCCTGTTTAGGACTTGCCAGATACAATTCACATCGGTGGGAGGATCGCTCCGAAGATAGTGTGGGATTATGTCGGCAAGCTCCAGTCTTCCGTGTCCAAGGTATCCGCGGCTTATAGGACATTATCTGTAATGGGGGGGAAAAGTATTTGTTTCAATTTGTGTTTTTATAGCCTCTCTTGTTGTTGGGCTAACACTTGAATTGTCTGTCTGGAGCTTACTATGGAGTAGTTAAATTTATAGTGATGCTCTGCCTCACAGTGTGTTTCAATATTATGGTGCTAGGAATCTGCTTCTGACTTCATATAATAATGTGTGCACATTTGGTCTTAGTAAAAACACGGACCTGCATCTCACTTTCTCCTGTCAGCAGGAGAAGGGGGCTGAGGAGGTGGTTGGGCTCAGCTGCTCCCCTGAGCGCTTGGACTGGGTTTGTCTCCCTGGGAACCCGAAGACTGAGCTGGGGCTGGGGTCCTGGGCACGGGGTTCCCTCGGGAAGGTGCTGGGGTTTGCATCCAGCTCATGGGAAGGATGATTATCTCAGCCCTCCTGCTTGGGTTCACACTGTGAGGAAGAGGCAGCTGATGCCCCTTGTGGGTCTCGGTCCCTGTGTGTGGAGAACAGCTGCTCTGTGGGGGATGCTGCTGACTGTCCCTGCACACAGAGGCCCTCACCGCTACCAGAGCCCTGTGAGACCCAGGCAGAGGGAAGGAGTGTGGAGAGCTTTGTGCTGAGATCGAGATTTTACTGTGAAAGCCTGAAGCCTGAGCCCGTGTTTCCTTTATACTTCTTTACGTTCACACGCTGGACCAGGAGACTGGGAAATCACGGTCAGAGCCACTAGGATGTTCTGTTTGGAGGCTCAGGCGCAGCCTCACGGGTGCCGGTTGTTGGCAGCCCAGGTGAAGGCTCTGCCCGTGCTGTGTCTTGCAGGAGCTCTATCTGATCTGCTTTCAGCCTGCGACGCAGGAGGAAGAGGGCGTCTACATGTCTCTCTACTCCTATCTCAGCAGCTGTGGCCGCTTTGGGGTCGTAGCTAACACCAACAGGGGAGTCAAGGACCTCTACCTGATCCCACTGAGTGCCGAGGACCCTGTGCCACCTGCTCTCTTGCCCTTTGTGGGTCCAGGTGAGTGCCCGCCTTCTGGGAGGTCATTAGACACGTCTGTCCACGTGGCCTCCCCATGGACAAGGAGGCCTGGTGAGACGTCATGGCAGATTCGCTGCACCGCCAACTGGGACCTTCCATGAAGCAGCACTAAGAAAGTGAGGTAGCAGGGTATGACAGGGCTTCCTGCCCTCTGCAGTGTGGGGACATGGCCCTCAGGGTCCATGGATGAGTGGGAAATGGCCTTGGAAGCTTTAGAAAGAGGGAGAAGGCCCACTGCTCTCATCAAGCCTCAGACCCACCAGCAGGCTCAGAGCAGCCAGGGAGGGCAAGGTGCGCTCATCCATGCGAGCCACTGCTGTTCAGGCGGATGGCACAAGGCTCCTGCCTGGCCAGGAGTGAGCCGTCACTGCACAGCCGCTCCCCGCTGAGGATCCTCTCACAGGGGTGATTCTTGGGGACAGTAACATCTCTCAAAGGACTACTGCAGACCTGCCACTAAAGCTTGCATAACTGCTATGTGCTTGCTCATTTCTGCAGAAAGTGCAGTGTAAAGCATTCTTTATGAATTAACCTCAAGCACATTCCAGACTTGTCCTGAGTTGGGGTGATTCCAAGCCAGTTCTGGGCCCTTGGACCAGAGCTGTTTCTAGTTCCAGGGAAGGAGATATGACTTCAGTTGGAATCAGCCTTCAGGGTCTGAACGGAAGTGGCTCCTTGGCCACGACATCCCCAGAGGATGGGTCTTAGCTCAAAACTGGTGTGAGTCACATGATGAGCGTTCTTTAAAGGGTGGTGTGTCCTGCAGGTGGTGGCTCACAGTCAGAAGCACTCATGTGCAGCCTAGACCCCTGATGGTGAACCTTTCAGAGCTTTCGGTGATGCAAACAGCCTGGTGTAGCACGTGTGCCAATCACCGCCACTGCCCTAGACCCTGCCCCTCGGTGCTTGGTTCCTGTCACCAGGTCTCCGAAGAGCTCCCGCTGCCGCTGGGCAGAGCTCTCGGAACTCCCAGTGCCGCTCGTGCTGCCCCGATCCAGCTGGGCTCCTCTGGGTGTGAGAGCCTTTCCTTGCCCTGGGTAGCAGAGCAGGGGGCGGGACATCATGCTTCCTGGGCTTGACCGGTGGGGTTCCCTGGTCCTAGGAGGCATGGAAATCTACCTAGAGGGCTAGAAGGCAGGGCGCATCCTTGCTGTAACAAGTGTGCTGTTCCGTCACTGTGCGTGTTTGTCCTGCCCCAGAAGGAAGCCTCTTCAGAGCATCATGATGCAGCCTCCACAGCTAGGAAGATGGGGTGCACAGGAGTGGGGTGCTCTCGGCAACAGGCTCCACTTGCTTAGGGCTGGACATGCAGCCATGGAGCACTGTACCATGTTTCTTCTCCTTGCCAGAGCTGAGGCCAAACTCCTAAGGGACTCTTGTTGTCTTGCTGCTGCCATGGTCCTCACCCGAGCCCACTGTGCTAGCTGGAAACTTGAGATTCACAGGCTCCTTTTCCTCCTGATAGCCCAAGGCTTGCAATTGTTTTATAACTACTTCTGCTCAAGAAAAAGCCAGAGGTGTTTAGACTCTCATTCCAAGTGCTGCTCTATTTACTAAATGATACAGTCCTCTCAATATTTCTGTTGAGGAATAAATGGCCACAGGTGTCCCCACCTTCCCAAGAAAGTCTGCAGTTGTGGAGCTGGGATGGGAGAGCCTGAGTGATCTGTACCAGCAGAGGGCATTGCTTCTGTGTTGCTTGACCAAATAACCCCTAGCCCCTGCAGAGGGCCCAGGTCCCTGCAACTTGGAGCTAGGGCCGGCTGATCCTTTTCTTCACAGCTGCATTACTTCCACTGACGATGCCGCCTCTAGGGCTGGAGAACACTGAGGCTCACGTGTCACACACATCATGAAGTTGGTGGTTCAGGGCCTGGTCTTTTGCAATCAGCTGCTCAACTGTTGGTTTGCTTTTGCCCCCAGCATCTCTGCCTCTACCTCCTAAACATTTCCCACCCCAGTCCTAGTAGCTTTTATTTCTTTTTTTTTTTTTTTTTTTTTTTTTCCTCCGGTACCGGGAACCGAACTCACGACCTTGCGCTTGCCAGTCAGGCGCTTTTGCCGCTGAGCTAAAT